AAGCAAGCAGATGGAGGAAGTCGAAACCTAAAAAAAAAAAAAAAGAGTCAAAAACACAGGAAACGACTGGAGAAAGGGAAATAGCAGACCCTTACCTGAGCCAGACCTTCCAAATACGTGTTGACGATATTGTCAGTGCCCGAAGCGCTAAGCTCAGAAACTTCTGGCCCAAACACAAACCTCCCAAGCCTTGCCCTGATAGCTGTCGGTCTCCCCATCATAGAACCAGCCCAAATCGGCACTTGGGTAGAAGTTCCTGAACAAGGAGGAGACAAAGGAGGGGTAGCACGAGGAGAGGATAAAGGTGGAACAGATGTGCCTGGCAAGGAAGATTCTGGAGCAGCAGTTGGAGAAGTTGTCAGTTGAGAAGGAGCCACCGTGGAAGCCACATGGGGGGCATCATCCGTCCTTGTCACTTTGGAAGAAGGAGGGCTCCTGCTAGAAAAACGGGACACCACCACCCTCTTACTTGCTGCAAGAGTAGAGAAGGGTTAGATAAAAAAAAAAAAAAAAGGAGAGGAAACTAGCTCACCCTTTTTCTTCGAAGAGGAGCTGCCAGATTTCTGAGATGGAGCTACAGCTCTAGTATACTTGGGCAGGAGAACTCCCAAATCTTTACAAGGGCAAGCTTTGACAGCCTCCAATTTTCACTCCTGGTCCCGGGAAAGCACAGGTATATCTGCATGAAAAAAGTGAGCACACACGCAAAAAAAAAAAAAAGGAAAAAGAAAAAGTGTGCAGCATACCGGGTTTTTTAGCAGCACCCCAATGTGTTGGCACCGAAACTCTGTCGGCTTCTGAAGCCCATTCTCCACCAATAAAGAAGAAACAAGATTTTCAGCCGCCGCAATTAGAGCGCATTCCTGTAAGCACTGTACCACTCCGTGCGGTAAAATAGTATCATCCCCTATTTGGTGTAGGGGTTTCGCTCAAATTATATGCTGCATGAAACTCCATAGGGGAAGCATCCTCGTGGTGCACCTTTCTCCATAATGCAAGAAAACCGAGCAAGACTCTCCAACCGTTGGGCGCTAGTCGCCCCGGAGTCAAGGAAAAGTAATGCAAAACACGACAAATGGGGGAGGACATGGAAAATCTTAACCCAGCCTCAAGCATCTCCTCGTAGACAACAATATCCCCGGAAGAGTCATCACAAGCAAACTCGCCCAACTCAGCCCGACGGCACAACACGGTCGGAGGGATGCGATAAGTAAAAACAAGCCTTGAAATATCTTCATTTAAGCGGAACAAACTAGAAAAGGTGCTCACCTTAGACCCGTCATCATCAAGTCCCACTTTGCTCTTGAGTTTCTTCTTCCGGGGCCTTAAGGAGTAGTCCAAATCATCATTGGGAAAGTCCTGAGGAACTTGAATCGGGGGAGCTACAATAGGGGCTTGATCATCAAGGGCAGCACCCAAAGCTTCCTTACTACTTGCAATGTCTAGCCCAACGCCTGGAAGTGTGTCTGACTGCTGTTGCTCGTCAAAACAAAGTTGCCCAATAGCTTGAAGGGTGTCTGGCCCTTCAAAATTGCGCAAATCAGAATTTTCGGCGTAAAAATCAGCACCTAAGGCGCCCAAATCAGCACCTCAAGTGGGAATCGGATCAGCCCGTGCTCCCAGGCCACTGCCTAGCTCTCCCTAATAAACCTTGGACTGATTTTCAGCGCCCCTTGATGGAAAAATGTTGCTGCCCAGCGTTCCAAAGCTGCCCAACGTAGCAGAACTGAAGCTGTCCAGCGCAGCTGAGTTGTCCGGGACAGCAGAAGCAACAGCCAGGCTGCTGCCCAGCACACCTGGGCTGTCCAAGACAGCAAGGCCAGCGCCCAGGCAGCTGCCTAGCGCGCCTAGGCTGTCCAGGACAGGAGGAGCAGAGCCCAGGCAGCCGCCCAGCCCCCCACCTGCGAGCGCGCACGCTGCCCAGCTGTGCGCCTGCCTAGTCGCGCGCCCAGCCGTTTCCTTTCGCTGCCCAAGCCACTCCTCGCGCTGCCCATCTCCCCTTCACTGTCCAGCCCTTCATTTACAGCCCCAAAGCTGTCCAAAACAGCATTCGAATGCTTAAAACCAGCCTCCAAGTTCTCCAAAATGATGCCTACTTCCTCCCTTTCTTCAACCTCCACCACTCCCTCTTCAAAATAAAGTGGGAAAGACTTGAAGTTTAAAAAAAAATAATAATAATAATAATATAGTCAATGCTCCTTCTCCAAGTCTCATTGGACATGGGGCATTGGGGGGCAAATGATGGGTTAAGCCCAAATAGTCCAATTTATATGTTAAAGTCCAACTCCAGTTGAAGAGCCCAACCTCATTTTGAATCTACCAAGCCCAAGACAGTCCAAGACCGGTTAGACTTTTTGCTTAGCACGTCATCAAGAGAAGAGCATGAGAAACTTATCTGCACCACCGAAGGAAACGGTCCAAGCTTTGACCACGTTTCATGAAGAGCTCCCCAACCTCATCCTTTCGTTGAGGATAGGTCATGATCTCCACCAGAATGATCTCTTAGCTGCGATAAAGTAGCCTTGATGATAAGTCATGATCTCCACAAGAATGATCTCTTAGCTGCTATAAAGTAGCCCCAATCTGTGAGGAGACGAAAAAGACGGAGGACACGCCCTACCAACACTTACAGAGGATAGGCCGACGACCGGAGACCACTTTCTTTGATTCTCCATTCTCTCAAAGCTTGTATCTCTATTCTCTATACCTCTGAATTAATAAAATACCCGGTAACTGAAGCCATTGAAGAGTGGACGTAGGTCGAATTGACCGAACCACTATAAATCGTGTCTTCTTTAATTTTTTTCATTGATTTCATTGCATTTATTACCTACACTTGACAGGTGGTGTGCAAAACTATTTTTGTGCATCATCATCTTTATTTTTAATTCAATAAAAGCATGTTATGTTTAAAATTATTATATTTTTTAGTTTTTATTTTTATTTTATTATTTTTCAATCAATAATTATAATTCAACAAAGAATAGAAAGGTAAAACTATCATCTTCTTGCCCAAAGTCCATCTTTTTTGAGCTGAAGGGAAAGGTATTCCTCCCAATTTTCCTTTCCCTGCAAACCAAATGGTGGAAACGCTTTCTTTCCTTTATATTTTCCTCCCTTGATTTTTCATTTTCCTCCCTACCAAACAGGCCATAAGTCTCCATGATAAACTAGCTTATGTCAAAAAAGTAATTATTTTGTAGCGATCATCATATCATCTTAGATGGCATAATGAACTCGATCAGTAGAAAGAAGACATAGTAATTAATTGGGTTACATGTAAGATGTAGCTCCTACTTTGAAGGAAAAGAGAGGTCGAGACCCCCCACCTCATCAAGAAGGGGAAGGGATCAGGTCGGTCTTAATTTTTATGTTCTCCCTTAGTATATCGAAACAACTATTTCACCTGTCGAATTTCAATCTAAATAGAATTTCGGTCCAAATTGAAAGTATGCATCAGCACACTCATTTATACAGATCACTAACCATGAAATTAAAGGCCGGCTGGTGTGTATAAGAATATGAGAATCTGAATATAATGAATGGTAAGGGCAAAAATTGCCATGGGGGCATTCTTGTTCTTGTATCTAATGTCCGAAAGAGATTCCAAAGTTTAAACCCCACTTGGGAAAATAAGTTGCTATTGTTTTGTCTTTGGCTCTACCACTGCCTACTACGGCTAGATTTCGAATCTAGAAATTTCGATGCTTCTGCTTGTAGGTTTGGTCTCTTTTGTCGAGTTTTATTTTATTTTTTAGTTTACTTTTGATTTCTAAAGTATGTATTTTTTGTTAGTTTAGTCTTTATTGTATCAATTTGGTCCCTAAAATATTCAATTCACGTAATTTTAGTCTCTACATAGACGAACCATTAAATTTTTGACAAAATAATTATTAAAAACGTGTTTTGAACTTAACGTTTTTAATTGAAAAACTAAAATTTTAAAATGTGCTATTTTTTTGAAGCTATGGTAACTTGAACAAAGTTTAAAAAACTATATAATTACGGGTAATATACAGTTTCAAAATCACTTTAGCTCGGCCGTTAGATTACTTTCTTTGTTTCTTTTGTTTTTTTTTTTTTAATTTAACAGTCAGAGTTGTCCAGGCCAACTTACACACACATCGACTAATTCTCTTCACAGTCTGGTTAAAGACAGATCATCTACATTGGGATTAAGGTATTCAAAAAGGATAAATTTCGCATGACCTGTCCACAAAGAATTGTCAAAATTTAAATTCAAGACGTCTAAATTTATTGTTCATTTCTATTCTCAGTTGGGCTTCCTTGGGTTAGTTGATTCCTTTCTTGCCGTCCATTTCCTGTTGTTTATCGATAGCATAGGTCGGTAGTTGATTCTTCACTTACTTCATGTTTTTTAGGATAACATGCATAAGTGTATATATATAGACGATATATACTCAATCATTTACTTAAATATAATCGCCTTGCCGGCCAAGAAAAAATTTCGGCAACAAATTTCACTACAATTAAACACATGAATCGAAGCATATCCATATGCTTCTCTCCTACTTGAAGTTATCAGTTTTTCATACAGTTTGGTGATTAAATTTCGGGAAACACATGTTTACAAAGAAGTTATAATGGATTGAGGTAATTTGTGATCAATCACACAAATTTATGATCAATAAAAATATTGTGATCGATTACGAATAATCGTAACGTATCATGTGTAGGGCGTAACTTGATCTTTAAGAGTAGTAATTTTGGAACGTTTTGGGTACCCAAGTTGTTTTTTAATTTAAATTTGTCTTGGGTATCATTTTATTTTAACCGTCTAGTTTACATTCATCGACTAATCTCCTCTATGATTTGATCCTTCGTCTCGAGATTAAGACATTCATAAGCGATATCTTATGGCGTGACCCCAATCTCTCGTCACTTAACTAGAAAGGATTGTTGAGATTCTATTTTGGGCACCTTTGTCTCCCTATAAAAACCCTATCCCCATTCCTACAGCATTCCATAACCAGGCAACAATGGAGTTCCTGTCCAGCCATGAAGAGCTGTTTTCTGACTTCAAACTCCCATTACTAACCCTAATTCTAGCCACCATAGTAGGCCTTCTTGTTAGGTACTGTAAATCCATGGCGTCTTCTTTTCGAAGCAAGAAACTTCCACCTGGGTCATTAGGGTATCCATTTATCGGAGAAACTTTAAGCTTTCTCAGGTCACAGAAAGAAGACAAGATCATCGAATGGATGGCAAATCGGATCACCATGTATGGACCAGTGTTTAAGACCTCACTCATGGGCTCCAAGACGGTCGTTATAACCGGCCAAGCCGGTAATCGTTTTATGTTCAGTGGAGCCGACAATGGCATTGCAAGCAATCAACCAGTTCCTGTAGCAAAAATAATAGGGAAACACAGCATCTTTGAGGTCTCAGGGTCCAGACACAAGCTTGTTAGGGGTGCCATGATGAACTTTTTGAAAGCTGAAAGCCTTCAAAGACATGTTGGTCAGATGAATTCACTAGTTGAACAGCAACTATTCCAAGTACTAATCAACATCTCTTAATTTTAGCTATTTAAAATTTCAATGCTTTCGCATATATGGTACTTAAAGTTACATGCCGCTTAGTGGGGCAAAGGAATTTGAAGGTTGAGAGATGAATTAAAGTAAACAAAAGGCTGATAAAGATGAACCTTTTTATTTCAGCCTAACTATATGGGATGGGGGGGGGGGGGGGGGCAATATAGATATAGGAAATGCTTGATCTGACCATAAAATAAGAATAGGTACTATACTCAAGCGGAAGTAGAGGGAAATGCTTTCCTTGAAAGAAGCACAAGTTTCGATCAAAAAAATAGAAAGAAGCACAAGTGAAATGATACCTAGATTAGGCTGGGAAATCTGGCGCAAAGCGAAGGGATTGGATACACAACTCTCCATCCCCCCCTTAAATTTGTGGTTATATACAAGAATCTTGTACACTGAACTGTCTTTTTTTGATTCTCTTTTATATGTGATACTCTTGGTTGCAGGAACTCAATGGTAAGGATTCGATACAAGTCGTAGAATTAATGCAGAGGATGACTTTTAAGGTAACTTGTAGTCTACTTTTCAAATTAGCAGAAGGAAAAGAAAAAGATTCATTATTCAAGGATTTTACCTTAGCCCTGAGAGGGGCATGGGCAATTCCCTTGGATTTCCCTGGCACCATCTTTCGAAAAGCAGTGCTGGCTCGCGGTAGAATAACCAAGGTGCTTTCTGATCTGATTAGAATGAGGAAGAAGGATCTGGAAAATGGGAAAAAAGGGTCTCAAGAAGATGTTATTTCTACTTTTCTGGTTTTGAGGGATGAAAATGGGAAACCTCTACCAGAAGAAGAAATTATTGACAATCTTGTTACTCTCATTATTGCAAGCCATGACACAAATTCGATTCTTCTAACCTTGCTTGTAAGACACCTTGCTAGGGATGTTGATGTCTGCAATAAGGTGCTTGAAGGTATGTAATACAATCTAACAACCTAGCTAGGTATGACATATAGAAAAGGAAGATACACAATAAAGTACAATACTCGTCTTAATTAAGCATATATATATATATGTTGAGCATGCTCTCGATCAAGAGAGTACGTTGTTCATGACAAATACTCTTCCGAACCTCAAAAATATAACTTATTCTTTAGAGCTGAACCGAAAGACTATGTAGCATCCTCTCACATCTGAAAGTGTTTGATTCCCCTTTTACTTGTAGCTACGTGTCCATTTTTTTTTTTTTTTGCTACGTGTCCATAAGAGATGAATCTAGGGTTGCAAGTCAAATGGTTCAACTTGTTGATTTAACAGAAAAAGTGAAATGGTTATTAGGCTTTCAAAATGACTGACCAATCTATAATTCTATATATATATATATATATTGTGCCATTGAAATATGATAGAGCAAATGCAAGTTCTGAAAGCAAGAGAAGGAAGTGCTGGAGCGCTTGGATGGAGTGATGTACAGATGATGAAGTATACATGGAGAGTGGCCCAAGAGCTTATGAGGTTGATATCTCCAGCTTTTGGCAACTTCAGGCAAACTTCCAGAGACACCTTCTTTGGTGGCTTTGATATCCCCAAAGGCTGGCAGGTAGTGTTAGAAATTCATAAATAACTCATGAAATTGACAAGAAACTAGTGGGTTTAAGTTAATCATTAATAAATTTGGATCATAAGCGGTTTGATCCGTTATGCAAATTTAATAATTGATCAATATGAATCTAACTAGCATAATTTACACCTGATATAAAGCCGATACAATAATTATCCGTTTATACATGACCATAAATTTATGTTTTATGAATTGACATGATCCATAGATATCCCTAGGAGGATATACACAAATCACTAGACTCATGCATTAATAATGGGTTGATACAGACCTGATTAACATAACTTACACTCGATATGAATCTGCTGAGTTACTTACCCAATTTTACATGATCACAAATTCATCAAGCATGAATTGAGTAAGTTTTGACATTATCTGTTGATATATATATATATATCCCTAGGAGGAGGATGTAGACAAATCACTAGGCTTATGTATTACACATGCAAGAACACACTTGCAACATAGAGTAGTTTTGGCTCGTCATTTAAAAGGTAAAAAATAGATAAATCTAAGGAATATGGGAACCCTAATTGACTGTATCTTTCAGGTATTTTGGCGACTTCTCCAACACACATGGACAACAACATTTTTGAACAGCCAGAAAAGTTTGATCCATCAAGATTTGAGAACCCTACAAAAACTATCCCTCCATATACCTACATTCCTTTTGGAGCCGGTCCACGTATCTGCCCTGGGGCAGAATTTGCCAGGATTGAAGTGCTGCTGATAATCCATCATTTGATAGCAAATTATAGTTGGACAGAAGCAATTCCGAATGAGCCGCTGACCCGGGAACCCTTTCCCTACCCGGCCATGGGACTTCCCATCAAGCTTCATCCTAGGAAAGATGTGTAGAAACCCATTTCTGCGGCTTTGTCCCTATGTTTTTCACTGTAGGATGTATTAATAAAGTCTATCTTCTTGGCAATTTGGCATTATGTGAGAGTACAATGACAGCTTAATTTAGTAAGAGTAATCTTGCTCATTTGTTTAAGATTAATTTAGTAAGAGTAATAAATGCGATTTTCCATTTTAATCACTCTGCCATTAATGATTGGATCCACAAGTAAAATCAGATATTTTACGGTAATGCTAGACTGACCAAATTTTGAAATCAAATTTGGAGTCCAAATGACATGACAAATTAAGTTTGTCACTTAAATACTCAGACCCCCTAATTTTGAAATATTACACACAAACCCTTTAAAATTTGTACGCGTGTAACACTTAAACCCCTACAAAGTTTGTAAGTATATAATACTTAAACTCCTTAAGTTTAAAATATTTGACTAAGACCAAAAATACTTCAATCAAATATAAAATATTTTAAATTTTACAACAAAAATTCATGTTCTATTATATCATTTATTTAAATAAAATTAAAATTAAAAAAAATTCTTAAAAAATCATAATTAATATACAATTATACTATCTATTGGAATAAAATTAAAAAATCAAACAAGGGGTCTAAATTATTCATAATAGAACATGAATTTTACATTTAATTCATGTTTTATTATTTTATTTATTGAAATAAAGACAAAAATAAAAGTCCAATTTTTTTAAAAAATCATAGTTAATATATAATTATACTATCTATTAGAATAAAACTAAAAAATTAAACAAGTGGTCAAACAGTAATTGACACAATATCTTTTAGTTTTAATTGAGGTAGTTTGATATTTAATTTGGTTGTTTAAATGACCAAATTAAATTTTAATAAACAATATAATTGTAAACTAATTATGATTTTTTAAGAAAAAAATTGAATTTTTATTTTTGATTTTATTTCAATAAATGATACAATAGAACATGAATTTTGATTGTAAAATTTAAAATATTTTATATGTTATCTTTGATTGAAGTATTTTTGGTCTAAATATAATATTTTAAATTTAAGGGGTTTAAATATTATATACCTACAGACTTTAGGGGGTTTAAGTATAATTTATTAAATAATATATTTACACCAGAGGTCTAAGTGTTACGCGTGTATAAACTTCAAGGGGTCTGTGTGTAATATTTCAAATGTCAGGGAGTCTGAATAATTAAGTGACAAACTTCAGGGGGTCTAGATGTAATTCTCCCTAAAAATTTTATAATCATTCGGTCAACAATTGAAAATAAATTTAAGCTTCAATAACATTATTCTTCCTCCAATGTTTGAACCCCTGATACATCAATGACCCATAATTAATAAATTCTACCATGATTTGTCTCACGAATTGGACACGTCGTTACTATGAGTGATTTTTGTTTCAACGGGTTTGGATCATTAGGGGTTAATTTGTGATCAGCTCACTCAATAAATGAGCCGACATGAATCTGACTATGCATACGTGAATCCAACATGATATGAATTCAATTATCCACAATATATATGATCGACTCGGGTCACTGTTGAACAAATTTGACCCAATGTGATCCAGGTAACTCAAATTTGTATTTTAAATGAACGGGAATCACTGGATGAGTGGGTCTCATTAACTTTTTTAAATGTAACCCACTGATCCAATAATTTTGATTTGAAATACAAATTTAAGTTACATAACATTGCTAAAAAAAAATTTGAGCAATAAATTTTTAGCACATTTAGACATTTGGTTTTTTTCACAAAATAACGCGAACACCCTTGATGGTGTTACAACTTTTACTTTGATACCATGTTAAACACCATCTCATTAAACATTAAGTTATTAAAGAAAATGTAAATCGAATTATTTATACTTCAACAATACAACACATACCCTCAAATGCCAAGAGAATAGAATTTAGACCATCATGTATTAAAAACAGTGAGAACCCCACAAAAATGGCTTTCTCTAAACATCTTTCCTGGGATGCAGCTTGATCGGAAGTCCCATGGCTGGGTAGGGCATGGGTTCCCGTGCTAGCGGCTCGTTCGGAATCACTTCCGTCCAACTGTAGTTCGTTATCAAGTGATGGATTATCAGCAGCACTTCAATCCTGGCATATTCTACCCCCGGACAGATTCGTGGACCAGCTCCGAAAGGAATGTAAGTATATGGAGGGACAGACTTTGTAGGGTTCTCAAATCTTGATGGATCAAACTTCTCTGGCTGTTCAAAAATGTTGTTGTCCATGT